AATTGTTTAACTCTTCGGTGAAATTTTGAGAAGATTATAAGATAAAAAAAATTCTAACCAAAATTAGAATTAGGGAGATCAAACAAAATAAAATAAAATGTGTGAATTAAAAATGCTAAATAACACACTTATGGTATTGAAGTACAAAATTTGAAATTTCTAAGACCAAATAATTGTTCATCAAAATCAGTCAGAAATTAATTATTACAATAATAGATAAGTTTGTGAATAGCATAGGATGACATGAATACAAGTAAAAAACAAGTCCTCACCTCACATATTCACATTTTGATGGGAAGAGATTGATTTGGAATGTCGCCAATTAATCAATACTGACATTAGGAATGCGTGCGATCTTGTGCCAATCAGAGCCTGAAAATTTTTTATAACGCTCCCCAAACTCTGGATGACAATTTTTTACCATTATTGAATTCAAGGAGGAAGGGAGGTCTGGCAATGATTTGAGGAGTGGAACGTCAAATAACCATATAACGTTGAGGGATGAGACGGCCGACAAAGAAGATGGCAGGCACTGTAGGTTATCAAGTCTCTGTAGAAGCAGATGAGACAAACAGAGAGGGAGGTCTGGCAATGATTTGAGGAGTGGAATGTTGTCTAAAAAAACATGCTTGAGGGATGAGATGGCCGACAAAGAAGATGGTAATGATTTGAGGAGTGGAATGTTTTTTAACCATAGAACTTTGAGGAATGAGATGGCCGACAAAGACGCTGGGAGGCACTGCAATGATTCCAGGTATTTAAGATGTAATTCTTTCAGGGAGGTGGGGATGTGTAAAAGCTGCTGGAGCCGAGGAACATTTTCGACGTGTAGAATCTTAAGTGAAGAGAGGCGTTCCAAGAAGGAAGGGAGAGACTGCAGCACATCATCATTACAAATTGTGAGCTTTTCCAAGGAGGCGATACTCACCGTCAGCAACAAGGATGAGTCATCTATAACAACTTGACTAAGAATAACCTGGAATTTCTCAATGCCACTATCCAGTTGTTGTCGTCCACCAACAGAATGAAGAGATGTGATGTTTGGACACGAAAGGACCCTTAATGTTTCAAGACAGCAGTTGTTGGTTTCTTGCTTGTAGATCAAAGCAGCCTTCCATCCGATATTTTGTATCTTCATTTTCCTGAGCTTAGGAGGCAAATAGGGCAACTCCTGCAGATTTGGGCAGTTAACAAGGGAGAGTTCTGTTAAGCAAGGAAAGAAACAGTCATTTGCTGCTGCTCCATCAAACCAATCCTCCAATACTAGTAATCCCATAATATTCAGCACCTCCAACGATGGAAACACAGAAACCTTGTCATTCCCATGGAATTTATAATCAAGCCGCTTTGCTTTTGGCATGTTACAAAGGTACAGAGACTTGAGGTGGGGAAGCTGCCCAAAAGGAGGAAGGGCTTCCCACTCCGAGCATCCGTTCAGACAGATGTACTCCAGATTGGAGATCAAATCTGTATTGTACATCCATTTTGCAGAGCATGCACCCTCATGTGAAACTATGGACAATCTTTTCAAATTTTTGTATGGTTCAAGAATTTCGAGCACATTCACATCTAATTCAGAATTGACAATGTTCTGTTCGCATCTATCTCCCCCCTCCAATTTCCATTTATTAACAGTTTTGCCCCAATTCAAGAATAACTCTGTGAGTTTTCTCTTCTCAAATAATTTTGCATTGCCAGCCTCTCCAGCATCCTTCACATTTTCCAGAAAATTTATTTTTAATTTGCGCAACTCGCTCATATGCTCCAACTCCCCAATTCTATAACCATTCTCATTCTTAACATTAAACTCATTTAGTTCTTGAAGTGACCTTAATTTCCCTATTCCAGGTACACTAGAAAATGCATTCGGAGGCATTTCCAAGTGGCGCTGATTAGAAAGATTACTCACATCGCCAGGCAAGAAATCATCAGAGCAAGATTCCAGAACCCCATTTTTGCAGATTATGAACCGCAAATGATAAAGACTGCTTAGAGATCTTGGCATCTGAGTGAGACTTCTAGTAAATTTCAAATATCGAAGATGTCTCAAATTTTTAATAGCCTCAGACATCTTTTCTTTATATGGAGAGTCTATGAACAACAAACGAATGCTTCTTGATGCCTTAAAAATTTCAGTAAGTATTTCAGTAAGACCTGGATCATTGGTTCTATGGGTAATAAAAAGATGAATGTAGAGTTTTAACATCTTTGATCATTTTGAAAAGTTCTGAATTTTCAGTTTCAACAAATAAGTGTCGAACATTTTTAGGAATTTTAAAAGATGAAACATTATCTCCCACGAATCTAAAACATTCTTCTGAAGAAACAAACAGTGCCAAATCATGTAATAAATCATGCGTCTTATAATAGATTCTCTCATGATAGTGAAACTCGTTAAAGAAAGATTTTTTGACCAAAACATCAAAATACCTTCCCCCAATATCTTCCAAAGTCTCTCCTCCCATAGAAGATTCCTGAATGAAACCCAATGCAATCCACATTCGGACTAAATCATCTTTATCAAACTCATGATCTTGTGGGAATATGCCACAAAATGCATAACAATTTTGTAGAAGTTGTGGGAGGAACGTAAAACTCAATCTTAAAATAGGCAAAATGTTATTACGACCCGATTCTAGTTCTACGTTTAGAACATCAGAACTATTTAAAATGTTCATCCAGAAGCTCTCTTTCAAGTTAGAATTGAGAATACCACCGACGATCTTTGCTGCTAGTCGAGATCCTGAAAGCTTTTTAACTATCAAACTAGCAATGTTTGATAATTTTGTATAAGCACCAAGGTTCTCTACACCAGCAAATGCATGGGTGTTGAGTAGCTTCAAACACACATTTTCTTTCAAGCCCTTTATCCTCAATGTTTCCATCTTCTTTTTAATAATATTTGCAATCGCCGATGCAACTGCATCCATTCGAGAAGTTATCAAAATCTTACTTCCGAAACTTCCATTAGTCAGAGGGGAGAGCACATTCTCATATTTGCTCTCATCTTCTTCCCAAATGTCATCCGGAACAAGCAAGAACCTTTTGGAGCGCACGACAGCTTTAAGACTCTCTTGAACAGCAGGGAGTGACTCCAAACGAGGCCTCTTTTTGTTATGTGTTGTAAGAGAGTTGTCTTGCCCATGCCACCATGACCCACTATGGATAGAAGAGAAATGTTTTTGTACAAAGTAGGGCTAGCGATATGAGTTGGATCTTCATTTGTTGGCTTCCTCAACCACTGCATAACAAAATCCTTCTCCTCGCCTCGACCGATGAGATCATTATTAGGCAAGGATCCTGTTTCACGATCTTTGCACAACTGAAGCTCCAGCTCCTGCTGCTCCTGCTTTGCGTTTTCGATGAGATGAAGGAAAGTAGTGACCTCAGCTGAAACTTTATCAAGTTTCTTCACAGCTGCCTCCAGTCTCTCCAAGTTGGGATCTATTTTGAGAGCTTGTTTGCAGAGTCTGCGAAGCTTGCGAGCAGGTTCCAAAAATAATCTAGAGAATGAAGAACGCACCTTTGTTTCCTCCATGTTCAGCTCCTGTTGTTCTTCTTCAAGCTTCATGTACTCAAAGTCATCAAGAACATCATCTGCCTCATCAATGGCATCTCGTAGCTGCCATATCCATCTTTTGAGAGCCGGGTTGCGATCTGTGATCTGTGCTCGGGTGTAAGCAGAGACGACAGCTTGGATCTTGTGGTGGTTCTCTCGCAGCCTTTCCAGCTCCTCCTTCATGCCTGTCTGCCATCTGAAGCACTGATCTTGCAGGTAATCAGAGCAAGCGTTGATGATCTTATCCATGACTGGACCAACAAACCAGTCTGCCATGGCACGATAGTTGTAGAAGCAGGAGAGACGGTGGAAGAGAGGAACAGAAGAAGAGAGGAAGAAGGTCAAGAGGTATGACATAGAGCCATTTATATAATAAAAAATTAATTTCTCAATTAAAATTTAGGCTTGTTTAGAGCAGAGATACAGCTGTTTAAATAAACAAAAATCATAAGACTTGTATTTATTTTATTTTTGAAAGTCAGATTGCTTCTTCGTAAAACACAGCTTGTTGCCTCAGCTTTTTGGGAGGGTGTAAATGAATATTAGCTCATGTTTGATTCTTTAAAAAAAAGTTATTGTTGGTGTTCAGCTTCTTTATATTTCAAATAAAAAAAAAATGTGTTTGCATTTAGCTAGTTTGTTTAATGAGCTGAACACGAACTGTTTGCGAATAAAAAATCATTTTGATAATCTTAATCATTCAGTCGTAAGTTATTAAGGGTTGGGACGAGAATCAAATCTAATTATTTATATTCAAACATCATTTAAATATAATTAAATATTTTTTTATTATATTATTAATTAATAATTTTAATTGATATAT